TATATATATATATATATATATATATACACACATATCAATTTCAAGCAGGTATTGGTATGGTATCAGTATCAGCCAGTACTGCACAGCCAGGTATCGGGGCCAAAAACTAGTATATACAGGTGTTCTTAAAATTAACTTTTCTGTTTATGGAATTTGATGACTCAACGTTACTCTAAATGAGTGGATCTAACAAAAGTCTGATGATCCTGTTTTTGTCCACAGGTGTTCTGCCAACATGAGGATCTCCATGGAGATGACCTATACCAGTACGGTGGCCTCGAGTTCCCTCAAATCAACTACAGCAGATTTAACACCAAACCATATCGTTATTTCTATGGCTGTGGCTTCAGACACATGGTGGGAGACTCCCTGCTCAAGGTGGACCTAAAGGACAAGACACTTAAGGTGTGTAGTCATTTCCAGGTTTCTTTGTGTTTATCCCCACAAGGCGGTGCATTTTAATTTGTATTGTGAGTATATCAGGAAGAGAAGGGTGGGTTTGAACCCAGTGTTGCAGAAAGGGCAATTATGTTTTTACTTTGCTGAATGTGCTTAAGTCATCGTGGATTGTTTAAAAATAGAGATGGCCAAATAAACGGACATTGGCAGAGAAATAAATGAATATGATTGCAAGTCAAAAGGAACATTTGCATATTGAATATTAATTGAGTGAAAAACAAAGGAACGAAAAATGAAGAGGATTAAACTGTAGCTTAAAGTATAAGATTTTAGCCACAGCATCGCCTCTTAATTTTAAAGACTAGGAGCTCATTATCAAACACAAAAACTCAGAATAGCAGAAAAAAAATAAAAAATGCTAGGCAGCAGTTTAAAGAAGGGTTTTGATTGGTGTAACACCAATAAAAACTGCGACTAAGTTGTTTTAATTTTAGTAGTTAATACTACTTTTATTTATCTATTTTATTTTAAATTTTTTATTAACAGTGTCCTGTCTGGCAATGTGGCAATAAGAATAATTGTCTTGATGCCAAAAAGAGCCCAACAGATTTTGTTTTCACAAGTGGAGCAGTACACTATCGCCATAGTGTTCCACTTGTTTTATGCATGTAAATTGCTTTATTATAATTATGCAGGGAGTTTTACAGATTATATGGACACTGCAATGTAAGTAAAACAGGAAAGGAAAAACAGAAAAAAAGGAGAAAAGATGAAAGAAAGAGAAGATAAAAGGGAGACAATGATAAAACATTTTCAGTCTGCTTAATCGCCTGCAAAGAGATGTAAAAAGTACAGCACAACCAAGGGACATGATACGAGACATACAATAAAGTAACAACTAGATACTATGGCTGAAGTATAAGTAGTATTATTTAATCTGACATGTATTCACTGCATATGCATCTGTTCACTGCATATTCCTCTGATTTACAAATAGCAAGCAGAAAATAAACTTGAGTGAGAATAGCAATACTTTTATTTTTGAGATTATCAATTAAGTAGGAATATGGTAAAATACATCTACCTCAAAAAGTACATTTATTTTTAAATGTAACTCAGCAAACTAAATATTAAATAACTGTAGAGGCATAGACCAGTATCAGGTATTGCAGGCAAACAAAGATCTCAACAACTCCCCGTTACTAAGGGGCGGACCTGTTCTTCTGGTTCAATTTCCACGTTTTCTAAACCAAAACAAGGCTTTGTTTGGGCTACTCTATAAAGCCTGGAACTCAACACTAATTCTGAAATTCTGACATTTTTAATTGAATTTTTTTTTTTTTTACTTTTTCGGAATGACTAAGAACTGGATGACTAAGAATATTCACCAGCAACAGGCATAAAACTCTTTTGAACCTTAACTTTATGAATTATGCAAAACCAGGAAAGCTGGTTTTCATAAAACATGCTGGAGATTTGAATTAGTGAGGTTTGATGTGTGAATGATGGATGATTGCAGGCCTGGAACCAGAAGGGCTTCTACCCATCAGAGCCGGTTTTTGTGCCGTCGCCTGATGCAGTAGAGGAGGACGATGGAGTCATCCTGTCTGTGGTTCTCACACCCTCACAGGTACATCTCTCCTCATTCGGCCTCATTTGTACTTAAAGGAAGTCTTTTTTTTAAATACTATAAACAACAATATCTTGTTTGTGCTAAGAAAAATATATGTATGTCTAAGTTTTTATTGCATGCTTTTTTAAATTAACAAATTTTTAAATAACTGAAGGTTATTTTTAACAACTGTTTTGCCCATTATCATGGGTTTTAGATTTCTCGACAGCATTCATTATTAAGCATTGTTGAGTTTTGATAATTTAATGTGATTTTATTCATGTTTTAATTTACCTGCTATATCTGAACCCATTTCTGTTTTTTTATCTGTGAAACTTGCTAAATAAATAAAATGTACTTATGTAATTACAACAGCAATATCTGCCAAAGGTATGTTCAAGAGTTTAACGTTGGATTTAACCCTGCAAAAAAACTGATCTAAAACAAAATAGATTTTTCTGAAAATAATTTTACTCGCTCTTAATTTTAATCGGCTAACTCAAAGTATCTGCCAACAGATTTAGCATTTCAGCCTGTAAGATAAGATGATATATCCTGCAACTAAAATAAAAGAATGTTTTGTCGTTTGTAGTGCAAACATCTTTTTCCGTATGCAGATCATTTTACTTACCTCACAATGTTATACTCAAGGTAGAAACACACTTATTTATACTATTTATACTTTACTTGAACAGTAAGAGAAGAGGACTGGTAAATATTTTTTGACAGAATCATATATAGTGAATCACACCATGACTTACGTTAGAAAGGAAAAAATGTAATTTATTGTTCATGGTTAATAAAAAAAAAACACAACATTTCAGAAATCAAAGATCAAACTTAGTATTTGTGTCCCTAAACACTTATTTCAATTATGAAGTTTCTGCTTTTCTAAATTAATTTCTTCCTTACAGACTATTTTAATAAACTTACCTTAGCCTTGGAAAACCCTGAATGATATTTTTCATATGAATTAAGAGTGACTTGAAAAAGAAGAGAATTTCTTTATTTCCAAAGCACACATCTTAAAAAAAAAAAGGGGGATGGAATTGAATTTTCCTATTTCAGCCCCTTATTAGATACCAACTAGAAAATGTTAATAGAAGAAAACAGGAGTTATTTTGGACCCAGTATAACTTGCCCACCATGGATGGTATTTCACAATTTCTCAAGATGTGAGAAGCTTTTGAATTAAATACTTAATCAAAGTGACCAAAAGGTTATTGTCAAGTATGCACTAAAATATAAACTAAAGTAAACTCCATAGAACTTTGCTTTGGCCGTTCTTGACATGCCTGTTTTGTTTCTTTTTCATGTTCTCTGCAGGATAAAGGAACCTTTCTCCTTGTTCTGGATGCGAGAACCTTTGAGGAGCTGGGTCGGGCCAACGTGCCTGTAAACATGCCTTATGGCTTCCATGGTACCTTCTCTGTCTCTGCATAAATCAGTGCCTATCAATATTAAAGGGATTAAAGTTACTGAATATAATGCAGTAGGTAAACATCAAGAATTAACCAAAGATTTTTACGATATTCATTCACTCTATTAGTAGTATCTTTTAGCAGCTCTGATTGGGTTTAGAGTTACTTTAAATATTTAATGCAGATATGAAATCAGCCATCAGCCGCAAACTGGATTTAATTTTTTTTTCTAAATGAGTGTTGTTTTTTTTGTTTTTTTTAAGTGGACACTTTGTTCAAACCAGAAAAGCCCACAAAAGTGAAATCTCCACAAAGTGCGATTATGGTTCTGCTCGATTTACATCAATTCAAATTAATTAGCACCACGCCCATTTCTATTTCATCCAAACGGCCAATTTCCACCAATCATAGGCTGCAAGCAGCTAGTTAAACGTTGCTGCTTGTGTACATTTTTTTTTACCTATTGTGTAAAAAATTAGGAATTAATGGTAAATGTAGCTCACTGCTAACATGGCTAATGCTACAGCCCATTAAACCAACTTATACAGTAGTACCCATTTAAAATATCTCCACTTTCCTTGCTGGGCTCTTGGCTGGCCCTTGTCTTGTCCCCTAAAATTCTTTTTTAAACATCAATCTATGTAGTAAAATATTGTTTCTGTCATGATTTGTGGACATTAAGATCTTAAGAGAACCGTCATCTCCTGTTCAGACCCTGTAATTCAGTGAAAGGGTGGAGTCAGAGTAAAAAATATGCACGCCCAGGAGTTTCAGGCAAGTGGGCTTCCATTCGGCTGGCGTTTGACTGGGAAGGGCCATTTTGAATGCCTGCTTCTGTATTCAAATTCTTGTACATATGCTTGCAAGAAAAAAGGGGTACGAAAAAACAGCCTGAAGGAGCTCTAATTGATTTAGTTTCCTCTAAACATGATGGAACAACAATTTAAAGACAGGATTGTAGAAGTTAAATGCTAAACTATCTGGTACATTGCCTGACATGATGCTGACCGTAAATCCATGATGCAGATCTTGTAGCAGCAGAACTCAGGATCCTTCAAACCAGTAATTTTTTTTTTTTTTTATCTTTCATTTTTTCACTTTAACTATCTGGTGGAAATTTTAGCTTCAGTTTCTGGTGATTTTAACCTGCTTTGGTTCTCTGCTGCTGTTTCCCATCTGATAGAAGGGTTTATATGTGGAACATTCAAAGAGGCTAAACCACTCTGACATTTTCTTCTGACCTATGACATTAACAATGCATTTCCATCCTCATTACTGCAGCTCCTTTCTATTGAGACACTCAGACAAAGCTGGGCTGCCACCGAAAAAAAATGTCCTATACTAAAAACTTTTTTCTTTTTCATCTGATCCTCGATTTGAACCACCAGAGTGTTTCCTCTCCACGTCCACAGCCTTAAATGTTTCTGCCAGGTAGCTGCTGTTTTTTCTTGTTTATAACCAAACTGTAAACCTAACAAATACGTGTATTCTTATTTTCATAGATCCGCCATCGTTACTGACAGAATGCTGATAGCATTGTATACATTGTTTTAAAGGCTTGTTTATCAATCTGTTAGATGAAATTACAATTTTCTTTTCTTTTTTTTTTAAACACTACAGTATTATTAAACTTTTGTGCTTTAGTATTAACTAAGCTGCCAAAGTCTAAGATTTTTCAAGGAAAAAACCTGTTTACTGATTTTTGTACTAAATTCTATATTTTATACCAATAACGGTTCAATAAAATGAAACTTTTGTTAATTTTTGATGTATTCTCTTTTTATGCTTTACACATGAATGTGTGTTTGTGTGTGTGTCTGATTCCATTTGCACTGCTAGTTAGAACCATTATTGTGTTTTGCCAGTGAAGTGGGGAGCTTTTGTTGCAAACAGAACATTTTCCTGATCCCCACCTTATTTTTTATGAACTGCGTTCTGGTCAGGGTCAGGTAATGTCTCAGAGGTGGTCTCAGGGTTTAAAACGAATGGAAGTTCATGAGAGTTAATGCAGCATTCTCACAGCACATAGTAAGCTGAAAATGTCTGTGTGGGGGATTTAACAAATTCTTCAAATTTTACTAAGTAAATCTATTAGATCATGAAAGGTAAACCAAAAAGCCACTAAATAAACTAAAGAGCAAAACAAATCTCAAGATGAGAAAGATGTTTGAACATGAAAGCTATTTATAAGCTGTTTCCAAATTGTTTATAGCTGAACCGTTGGTAATTGGTTACTAAACTGTTTAAAGGCTGTAGCTCAACTTTTCCTAGAATCAAGCTAATCTATTAATAAAATAACATTAGTTAAAGAACTGCTTATAAGCTGTTATGCAACTGCTAATAAACTGTTTAGTTTTAGTGTTGACAAAGTGTTAATAAGCAGTTTTTAAACTGTTAGTATGTGGTTAATAAAGTGTTTATAACCATAGCTAAACTATAACCTGCAGCATCTGCAACAGAACCTGTGGCTCCAGGATCAGGCTGTACAGCCGCAGTCAGTACTCCATCACAGACTGACATCCATGGCGCAGACTCCACTGTCTATTTCAGACCTGTTAAACCTTCAGAGGTTCATAAAAACAGTAACAAAGACAGCCCTCTATCACCTTAAGAGCATCTTCAGGGTTATAGGAAAATTATTTGGGTTTCTCTAAAACCATTTGGAATTAAGGGTTTTTAAATAATTTGCTGACCAATAAGATAATTAACCTTATTATGAACCAGAACAGCGATTGAAACAACTAATAAGGTCACTAAAAAGTCCCAACTCTGTCCACTAGAGGTCACTCTTAGGCAAGAAGTTATTTTAGTCATTTGGGTCCGAGGTTTCAATGCTGAACTGAAATGGCTTGCATCCAGAAACATTTCATTGTTAAAAAAAAAAAAAAAGGGAGATAAGTTTTAAGGGAAAACTGCTACAATCTGCTTTCTGTGAGTGATTTGTAGCAAATATATAATAAAAGGCCCCATTTCTGACTCTTACCGATCCTGTTATGTTGTAATGATTGAACAATGGCCCAGGGGGACATCTCTGAACCCAGCATGGACAGGCCGGCCATGAAAGCGATGAAAGCTGCACTTTTCTTCCTTCAATAAATGACTGAAAGAATCAATTAAAAGAATAAGGGAAGACTGACACAAAAGTGCAGATGTTTTTGCACAAGTCTAGAAAATAAAGTAATTTTAAATGCAGCTAACACAAAGGAGAAAATTGCAAGCAGTTTGAAAATTAAATTTTAACATTGGTTTAAGAGGGAGATCTATAAAAATCAAAACATTAGGGATTAACTGTGGTTTTTACTTGTTATGCAGCCTGTGTTGCCAGAGAAAGGATGCAAACTTCCACAGAGGAGTGAACAAAAGAAAGAGCAGGAAAAAGAATTTGCTCCAAGGAGACATTTAAAGCAACAGGACCCCCAATCTAAAAGGAACCCCTCTAATGTTAGAACTGGAGGATTTCAGGCAACAGCGCTTGCATTAATTAAAGGTTTCAACTTGGTTGTCTGACTGTATTTTATAGGAGTGAAGATTCATGTAATTCAAAAAGAATCTCAATAGGTCTAAGTTGCCATTAATTTAAATTTTTTTGTTTTTGTTTGTTTGTTTCTATTAGTGTAACTTTACAGCAAAGTTTCACATTCAGTATATATTAGTATAATGACACACTCATAACCTTTGTTCTCGTTGCTCCGAGTGCATGCAGCACTTTCAGGACAAGACAGCTGCCTGTGAGACAAAACTTAGGGAAGTAGGGTAGACTCACAGCGGCTCTTCTTGCTATCAAAGGAAGGTAAGAGTAGAACCTGCTTGCTAAAATACAGTGAAAAGCCACGAGATTTGTTTCTAGTCAGCTAAAAAAAGTTGCTGGAAAGGTCTGAAAAATTACCAAATGGCAAAAAAAATATGTAAGCAATTTTAAAGTGTTCTGATATTTAAATTTCTTTTAAACTTTATGATTAGAATAACTGCACAAATAAGCAGCATCCCATATTATATACCTATTATTGTTTTTGAATATTTGTAATTCATGCTGAAGGTGTGGCAGCTTTTATTTTTCTGTGACAATCAAATACATATGGCAGAAACCCTGGATTAAAAAGCACAGCAATGGAAGCATCATGCTCTACGTAGCGCTTTTTTTTTTTTTTAGCAGGAAGTTCATTAAACTAAAAACACAGGTGGAGATAAATACAGAGCATGAATAAATTAATAAAAGTTTAGGAAAGAAAACTGGGCCTGGCAAGATGTTTAAAGAAGTGGTTTGTCTGAAGCGTATTGATGTGTTAAAATTAATTAGATGTCAATCTGAGAATCTGTGGCCGTTTATGACAACCCCTGTTCAGTAACTGTCTCACAGCTGAAGGAGACAAACCTTAAAGAATCACTTTTTCTTCCTCTTGACTATAATATACTACTCTGTGTTGGTCTGTCACATATATGATTATTAAAACATCTTAAAGTTTGTGGCTCTAATGTTTAAAAAAAGTGACACGGTTCAAAAGATATTAATACTTTTAGGTCTCAGGTCAACACTTGTATTTTCAAAAGGATGTTATCAGTCATGGAATAAGAAGCGTTAGATGTATTTTTAGCTCATTTTAGTGTCAGTGATATTAATAACACCAAAAGCTTCTTTGGATAAAGAGACGTTTAAAAAAACACTGACTTCAGCTCTTGCGGGGAAAGAATTGTAGCTCTGCAAAAATAAATAAAATAAATACATAGCCAACCATTTACAGGAAAAGCTAACAACAGCTATAAGTTCAGCTTCAGTGAAAGGCGAAAGCAAACATTTTAGGAAAGTAACGAGTAGAGTGATTTAAAAACGATCACTCTGGGATCACTTCTCACCATTCACTTTACATCTGCGGTGGCAGCCTTCACAATACATTGCAAGGACTGGAAGTTGATCACAGGGTAACGTTTCAAAGTTAAACATGCTCACAAGATGTTTTTCTTTTGTGCTTGGTTGACATATGGAACAAATTGAGCTCTGGTTTGGACTTGTTCATGAATAATTCCAGGGTACTGTTATAAGTTACAGCTTAAATAAATAAATGAACTGGTCCTTTATTGCAAATGGGTGATGAAAACATGAGTGTGAATTTATAGACTCTTAACTGTTAACAGCTACTACGACACACGTTCACACAAATATAGCAGTTGTGTGTAAAAATCAAGTACACAGATGTGTATGTGTTTAAGTATGGCTAATCATTTTGCACAAAAACACAAGGATAAAACATATTTTATGTAATTTTTAACAGCTGAGGGCAGTATGGTGGAACAGGTGGTCAGACTTCTGTTTTCCATCTAGAAGGTGCTGGGTTCGAATCCCAGCCTGCTGTCTTTCTGCATGGAGTTATCATCTTCTTCTCCTTGGAGAGTGGGTTCTCTATATCCTTTATAAATATTTCTACCATACCTCAGCAGTGATTAGGTGCATGTTTTTGTTTATTCCTCCTGTGTGCCTCCATGTTGCCCTTTTATACTGATGAACTGTTCAGGCTGTTCCTTATCACACCCCAATTGGTAGAAAATAATCTAGGAACCAGATACACCACAAACTGGAACCCAGTTTACATGTTCTGTGTCAAAACGAATGTCTTCTTTGGAGTGAGTTGGTAACACTTTGCAATAACCATCATAACCACCATTTATAGATGGAGAATTTACCTTACAGTAATGATTAACAGATAATTTAACCTTTTATTAACTGCATTTGAACCGTTTATAAAAGGTAAATAGAAAATGTATTAAGGTTTTAAGCCCACTGATGTCAGGGATACGGCTAATCTAACATGGCAGGTCAATATAATCTTTTTACTTTTCATAACTGGTTTAGATGCAGTCTATGAATGATGATCAAATATAAATAATAAAAAAATCTGTTAATCATTAATAAATGGTCTCTTTACCATTTATAAACGGTAGTTATGATGGTTGTTGTGAATTGTTACCACTGAGTTTAGTTCCAATTCTGTTGCAAGCAACGACCACATTTTAAAAATAAAAGAAAAAAACAATCCAGAAATTTGACTTTATAAAAGCTTTAATCAGAAAAAAAAAGTTTTGTTTTTTTAGACTTAGTTTTCTCCCCCCAGATTTCTTCTTCATATTTCATTTTTTAAATTGACTATATGTACTTAAATATGTCAACTTTTTTGGTATAGATTTTATATTTGCATTGTTTTATTTCACTTTTTCAGATTGAGTTTTATGAATTGCATTTTTCTCAAATTGCATTTTGCAGATCACACTCTCTTCACCCCTGGGGGCGAGCCTTCCTCTAGAGTAAGGAGCAATGAAGTATTTCTATTCGTTTGTAAGGACGTTACCGACATCCTCTTTATGGTCACTGTGCACGTCAGGAGAAAGCGTTTGAAATTAAAAGAATGTGATCTGTGAAACGTAATGGGAGGAGACTTGAATTTGTACTTTAAAGCTACAGTGTGTAACTTTTAGCGACATCTAGCGGTCAGACTGCAGCAACATGAACATCTCCCCCCACCGCTTCTCCCCCCCAACAGTACGGCGAGCGTTACGGGACAAAATGTCTTCCACGACGTCCGCATCCATGGCTGCGAGACCCGCTCCTATGTAAT